ACTGCGGACAGGGGTTGCGGGCCCATTGAACATGTTAATCTGCAAAGCTCCAGCTGTTCGCTGAAGATTTGTTTGTACCCAACTGCACGGCACGAACGTCGCAGGGCGGCTGCTTCACGGCTGTGCCGATCAGCTACAACGTCAAGAAGTCAACGTTCATACGAGGTGTCGAGGAGAAGCTGCAGTTCGACCCCTGCACGGAGCAGGAGTTCTTCGAGGTAAATTGTCTTTGCCATTGGGCCTGCTGGCGAGCTTCAATCCGCGCAATGACTGCTATGGGGGGATGGCACTGCTGGCTTCGTGCCGGGCAGCTGTGTGCCGACTCGTAGCTAGTCCTAAAATCTGTGCTGTGTTGTCCGGACAGGCCGTGCCCAGCAGCCCCACGGAGCAAATCTACTACCGGCCAAGCAGCGCAAGATTCCCGACGGTGGATGCGCTGCGGCGCGGCAATGGCACCTGCGACTTCTTCCAGATGACAGTGCAGAACAGCAAGAGGCTTGACACCGACACGTTGGGCCGCGCCATAGACCAGGTAAAGCTCAAGGCGGAGGAGGTGCCGCGCCTGCACTTTGTAGTGCCAGCAGAGAGGTACGCGAAGTTCAAGCTGACGGGCGGCCGCACCTGGGTGCCGTCAAGCCAGACGGCATCACGTGTGAAGCTTTACATCATGAAGGGTGTGCACGCCCAGCTGAAGGTGTGCGCCCGGTGGGGCCCCATGGCCGGAGGCGGCCGCAAGCTGTGGCTTTGAACGCGCACATTACATGTGGCATGGGCGCTGCGCTGGGAGACTGACTGGCGAGAAGGGTGGCGCCGCCGCGTTCGATTGCAGGGTCGGCCTCTTTGACCCGGCCAACACGGAGGCGGCCAAGGCCAAGAGCGGAGAGACGCGCACCAAGTGCTTCTGCGGCTACTGCGCGACATGCAAAAACCGAATCAGAGTGCAGCAGTACCGGGCGAGGAAGAAGGCGAAGAACACAGAGCTCTAGAAGGCTGCAAATGGCGGAAGGCGTTATAAGTGTGGAGCTGCAACATGTTCGTGACAATGCTTCGGTTTCAAGTTAAGCGGGTATTGTGTGGTGCTGCAATTGCCCCGGTGCGGATCGGTTTGATGCGCACGGTGGTGAAGCTGGGTGGTAGCACAACAGCGTTTGAGGGGTGTGCGAGAGGGGAGCATCGCCTGGTAACGACCTCAGTGCACAGGACAGGACTGAACCCAGGACAGCGTCTCTAGGGCCAGTATGCAAAATCCCAATTTGCCAACGAGCGCATTGTGCAAATCTACAGGTCAGGTCATGCTACCTGTCCCACGGCCCGACAATAGGCCCAGCCGCGGGGGGTAAGGCCACTGCAAGCTGCACGGTCTAATAGCAACAAGGTCAATCGCCTCCCTGCGTCACCGGCAAGCACCGCGTGTCCGCCTC